CTCCCTGCCAACTGCCCAACTTTCAAAGGGCATAACTCGCTCATACGAACTCGGAATCGAGCAAACTCGGTGGCGTTGGAAAGATCGTTCCAAGGGCTTTCCAAACATAACTAGAACTACTCCTGGATCATCCTGATCTAGGAGTTATGACTGCTCAAAGTTGGCCAAAAACTCACTGATTTCCCACACTTAACCAAATTTCCAGATTCTGAATTTTTCCAAAAGTGACTACTTCCAATTTCAAGCTTCTTCTTATTCATTTTAAATTGTCAGAGTTACACAATTAAAACGAAATTACATATAAACCCCTCATAGAACCTCATTATAAAGTCAACACAAAGTCATAGGCTCTTGCTTAACCTATCATTTTTCTGAGTCGTTACAAAAGTCTTGTCGGGTAGGTGAAGTTTCACGACCGGTTGTATGGCTCGTAAAGTGTTTCACGGACCGTGAAGCCTTAAAAGGTCTGTGAAGCCTCTCTTTTAAGGCACCTCGTCAATTTTTAAGTTATGATCATTTTAGTCTTTTCCCAAATTATTTGGTACCTAAACTACGTCGTTTTAAACCCTATTTCAAGACATATAAAAGTGAATTAAGCCCTAAAACTACCAATTTCAATTCATTCTCCTAAATTCCCTAAACTTGACCAAATTCCTAAATTATCTCCAAGGTTCTCTCCAGAAATCTTCTCTCTAGATCAAGGAAGAAGAAAAAGTTAGGGTTCTTCAAGTTCGAGTCTCCTTTCTTTAACATTGCTTAGGGCTTCAATCAAGGCATGTAGGGATTTCATAAATGGGTTCCAATTGCCCAATGAGTCCCAAAAGTTTCTTCAATTCTCCAATTCAATTTCCCAAGATTTGATTAGGTTTTCATTCAATTCATCATGGGTTCTATTTGTATGGATTCAATTGCTTGACTATGGTCTTATTTTGATGATTTAGACTTAATTGCATGCCTTTCCACTAATTCCATGTGAACCCATACATTGATCTTTGAATTTAGACTATGAACCTTAATTTACATTAATTTATGAAGAAACTTGAATTCATGAATATATTTTGATGAAATCGTGCATATTTTCATGAAATCAATGTGTATGACTTATATAAGGTCATATATGAAGGTATATGTATGTTCTATGAAGCTTGACCACATGACATGAATGACATCTAGATTTGCCCTCAATATTTTTTGGGTTGTTTTCCTAAATTAGGTCTTAATAGTACGATATCCAGATATGTCATCAATGATTATAGATTACACTTTCAAAACTATTTTCATTAGTAGTATAGAAGTTCTAGCATGAAGTTAATGACTATGGGCCTTAAAAATGTAATATGAAAAGATCATGGATGGTGAAAGATTTTCTCACGTATTGTCTAAGGAGCTACCCTATGATGTTTTTTTATTATCTTAAATTAGTATCTTAATTGTAATTTTTCATGGATGATATCAACTGAGCATCTCAGCGGCGGGATTGAATATTCGGATCGAATCAGAGTTCATGCCGCCCGCCCTGAAAAAATAGGAGGCGTGAGCCACATGTCGCACATAAGCCGCCGGGTCGCACGACAGAAGAACACCCAACATAAAGATATATTCATCTTCATAGGAGATTTTATGAATATGATTAATGACTATTCTGTGGGATATATACTTAGCACCAAGTGGACTAGCGGTGAATACCCATGTCCTATAAACTATGTGCCACCACAGAATGATTGCCTTAGATAGATATTAGCTAGTAGATCCACTTTAGCTCAGATATTTACCTTGGAAAGTGAGGACACCCCTTTTCTCAGTGTGGGGCAAACACTGGATTCCATGTTATAGCTCGCATGTTCTATATGTCGGTTAAGGGTAACCTTTCCAAAAACGAACTAAATTAATTACTAATGATATATGAAGCTTCCTTTATGATTTAAAGATGCATTGACTATGTTCATGATTTATGAATCTTCTTAAATGATTTTACTATGTTTTAACTTGATCATGAATTTCATGTTTTCGATTATGTCCCCTTATGATCATGTCTCATATTTTATTGCATTCTCCTCATACTTAGTATATTCTATGTACTAATTCATACGTGTGCCTACATTTTTTCACTAATGTAGGGCTTGACGACTCTTCTCCCTCCATTCATGTCTAGTTTATTGTATTAGAGACTTTAAAGATCGGTGTTCCAAGGACCAAGAATCTTTTATTGCTTTCATGTCTTTTCATTTCAGATTTTGTATGTGATGTATGGGTTACGTCCCAATCACTTCCTTATGATGTAATAGATGGCTTTCAGACTTATGTTTAAACTTCCGTTACTTTTTGTCAAACTCTTGTATTTGAAATGCTACTTTTGAACTCTTTGTTTCTATTATCTTGTATGATGTATGCTAAGTGGCTTGTGTAGGTCCTTTCAGGGTCTTATACACCATGTTACGCCTAGGGTGCACCTTGAGTCATGATAAACTTGGTATTCAGAGTACAAGGTTTAGAAAGGTCCTAGGATGTGTCATAATCCACATCGAGTAGAGTCTTGTTCATGAGTGTGAAGTGCACCACATTTATGAATGAGAGACTATAAGATGTGTAGGAAACTCCACTTCTTTCATCACTTTAAAGTCGTGTGAGAGAGTTTAACTCTATATGTATCTCTCCTAATACCTATCCGATGCTTTTCAAGATATGGCCACTCAAAGACAATACATTAGAAGGAATGCATGTGAGAATGTGGAACGAGAAGCTCCTCGATCAACCCTTTGGCCGAGAAAGTGACTAATGATGAGTTTCGAGCCACATTTCATGAATGGCCTAAGCTATAACGACTCAAGAAAATATAGAGGTTAACTTGAACCCAAAGGTGGATACAGTGACAACAAGGGTGAGAGACTCTACCAAGATGAATCCTTTGGAATTTCATGGGTCTAAAGTTGAGGACGATCCTCAAGAGTTCATTGATGAGGTATACAAGGTTTTGATGATCATGTGAGTGACGCCAGTGAAAAAGGTGGAATTGGTCGCTTAGCAACTTAAAGGTATTTCTCAAGTTTGGTTTGAATAATGGAAGGAAGATAGGGCGGTGGATGTGGGTCCTCTTGATTGGAAGAAATTTAAGGTTGCTTTTCTTGATATGTTCTTTCCCCTTGAGATGAGGGAGACAAAGGTACTTGAGTTCATTAACCTTCATCAAGGGAATATGAGTGTGAAGGAGTATGCTTTAAAATTCACGCAATTGTCCAAGTATGCTCCAACTATGGTTGCCGATCCAAGGGAAAGGATGAGTAAATTTGTGTCGGGTGCTTCCGACTTGGTGGTCAAAGAATGTCTGACCACCATGCTTGTTAAGGAGATGGATGTCTCCCGTTTGATGGTTCATGCACAACAAATAGAAGAGGAGAAAACTAGGGATTCAAAGAGGGCAAGAAAGGATAATGGTTATTTCTCACATTTAAGGTCCGGTAGAGGCAATCATTCTTAAGGTAATGGTTCTAGAGAGCATATTTATCCATATTATGCATTGACTAATTCGTTTTGAGTCAAATATTTTATCTATTTTTATTTTAACTCATATTCGACTCGCATGTCACTCCTCCACATATTAAGTTGACGCTCTCAATAAAGTGAAGTCATTCACTTCGAGTTGTGCCATTTGTAGGTTTCCGGATAACTAATATCTAGAGGTTGATTCAGGAAAAATGTTACTCGTCGTTTTAGCAATGGTGCCTTTGTGATGTAGAATAACAAACTGAATTTTTTTTCTAATTCTTCGTCCTTTTGCAACAATTTTAAGTGCAACTTTCTATGGAAACTACCCGTCCGTAACTGATGGGGCCGGAGGGTTTGGTTTCTTGTTTGCAGAATTAGGACAAGTATTTGATTTAATTAAAATATCCTAGACATTGAGGGAGTATTTGAATTAATTCTTTTCATGTCACTTATAAATTAAAAAAAGCCACAACACCCAACTTTTGATTATATTTTTTCAGCTTTAAAACACTTTTTGTGTTATCTAGGAATGTCAATAATACGTTTTGGTTCGTTATTTTTAAAAATTATACCATTTCAATTTTTTAAATATTTTATAATATAACTAAAATTAAATTTTCTAAAATCATCCCAATTATATCACCCTTTGTACGGTTTGATTAATTTTTTATTTTTTTACTTTTAAAATATCATTCAAAATATACAACTATCAAAATATTTTTTCCACAAATATGTTCTTGAAAAAACACTTTAATTCTTCACCAAGAATGTTAAACTTTGTTGTCGTATTGTTTAATCTTAAACATTTAATAGGAGTGTTTGCATATGTTTTATTGCATTATTTGATAAAGTATCGATTACATTATCTTTTAATTTTAAACCTAATTAAATAAAAGCTAATTAAAAAGCAAAGACCCAAAAGTCGTCTAGTCACTAGATGCTTAGGACCGAGGTTATATTTATATTTGAAAAATATTATAAAATATATTTATATATTAAATTTAGCATTGTTTATATATAAAATATATTTGCATCATGCAAGGCTATTCGGTTTGATTCAAAAACTTTTCAATTTTTTTCATAAATTAAAAAAAACCATTTCAATTGTCCGAAACAATTATAAAAATCCAAAATTCTATTGAAACAATAACATAAATCGATTCAATTGAAGTAGATTTAGTCGGTTCCTTTCCTGTTCTTTTGATAGGTGTTATCTATACTTCAGAGTTAATATATAACTCAAAAGCTAAAAGCCACTAAAAATAAGCCAATCCAAACACTCATTGCGTCAACCAATTTGTGGGTTCTTAAAAAAATGACCAAATTTGACTTTAATTAACCTTTTTTAAGGAAAAAACTGGGATTATTTAATTAAAATGAAAATTAATTATTTAACTATTGTTTTAAAATGTAATTTTATTGATAAATAATTTTACTGTTTTAAAGATATAACTGATGAACCATGTCGGTTTCTACAATGTATTTTTAAAATTTTTAAGGTAAACAGACACTTGATGTAGTTAATTATTCTTTTGGCACATAATTGACCAAAGTGTAAAAAATAATAATTTCACATACGAAATTCCACAAAAAAATTAGTTAAACCGACGGTTTGCAGAAGCCATTTTTACTACATGGTTTTGACATTGTTTTTAGTAGTTGACGTTGCATGGTCACCGGATTTCATCGACATCAACTATAAACTCACGAAGAATTAGTACCTGCAAATATCAAGGTTAGTCCATCTTTACAATTGTAGGGTAATTATATTACCAGCCCAACATTAAGTATATGCAAAATTAAATACACATTCATAGTAGCTAAACAATTTACCTCCATAATTTTTCGAACAAATACTACCTTTTGCATAAAGTGGCTATTATAACATATTGGGACAAAATGATTTATCAAGCGTTTATATCACATAAGATATAAACAAATAATTATTCGACAAAGCAAGTGCTGACATCTTTCCATATATTCTCTCCTCAACAAGTTAACACTTTTTTATGTTAATGAAATCCCAACAAATTATGTCACTAGAGGAAAATGGAAATGATAAGAAACTCCCATATAAAAAGATCAGACACTCTGTTTTAAAGATACTTTTGACTCAAATAAGAATATTATATCACATAGGAGAAACACAACGCATGTAATAGTACCCACCAACTAATACTTCTAAAAAATGCAATGTTCCGTTACAGTAACCATTTCTTTGAAAACAAATTTACTATTTCATCATTTCTTCTAGCTTCATATCCATTTCGTAAATCAGCTTTACTTTTTCTTTTTCTTTTTTCCAGGTTATGGGAAGGGGGAAAACTCCAAGTAGGCTTCATAAGTACACATACAGGGATGAAACCAAAAGTTCATAGAAATCCTGAGGGAACAAAGATTAGACGGGAGAGCATGGATAATAACTGGACAAGACAAGGCTAACAACGGGATGCAAAAAAGTATAACCCCCAAGCTAAGAAAGAAACAATTGAGATGAAGTGGCATGATTAAGGCAAATGAGATCAAGAAGTAGGAGGAAGATGAAAAAACAAAGGAAAACAGATCACAAAAGGATAAAAATGGAAAAAGGGAGATATTTGAGAAAAGATGATCACTTGTTCTACCCTCAAGTTTGAGACGGCAAGAGAAGACCAAATGGGAAATTTGGTGCATTCTGAATATCTCAAGAGACAACACTACATCAAATAATGCTTACTTGTAAACATGACTTCAGACCTGCCTCGGACAATTGTGGATCAACCAGATTAATTAGCAAACATGGAATAGCCTCGCATCCCTCGGACATAAAATTGGAGGGGAATAAAATAGTCCTTGTGAGGACCATATACTCAGAGAAGTAGTTGCATTTTCTCCAAATACTAGCATAGGATGACTAAGCTTCTTAAAGATCGAACAAACACGCATGCTCAAAGTAGCTAAGAGGAAGTTGGATACTTCCGATAAGAGGGGAAACTGGAAGAGGAAATATGAATCATGACTATAGGATAAAGGCGTAAACAGGAGCTTCATTCTTAAAAAGTAAAACAATGAACAATGAGAAGAGTGCTAACATCTTGTTTCTATCCTTCATCTTCATCAAAAAACATCTTGTTTCTATCCTTCAAATCAAATATAGGACATGAATAATGAGAACACAAACACCATCTCAATAACTCTACACTGCAGCAAGGATATCAAAGTTTCTTCAAATCATGACCAGTTGAACACTTGAATCAAGGTATTAATAAATACTGACAAGAACGGTCCATCTGCTTTTTGCATTATAATCAATTAAATTTAACTCAAAAAGACTTTCCACTGGTGTAAAAATCGCTGCTGATACTGCCTTGCTATTTACACTGGGAATGATGCCTTTCCATATGCATACAAACAAACAACAAAAAGAAAGGAAGGAGACTCATATAGTGATAAAACCCATCTTCTCAACATGATTTCAGTTGCAAACAAGTTGCATGGATATAACTTGACAAGAGCCCATATTCAAATAATTTAAACAAAGATGTTAAACTGGAACAATCTAGCAGAAAACACAAATTTGGCTTTAGAAGAAGCATAGCCTCCCCATTCTCACCCAACCCAGTCCTCATTCTTCCCCTAAGAGAAAAAGGGAAAAGAAGGAATATTATAAAAATTGGGCTGCTTTCTAAGTCCATATCAAGAAAGTAGTAAAAACACATTCAACCAGATGGACCAAGCATACTAACAATGGTTCCACCTGGATGGAAAAACCAGACTTGTGATAGTTCCAAATGAGTACATAGAGCTGACTCATCAATTATGTTCTGCTCACTCACTATATAGTGAGCTACCAAGTATATGCGACCGCAACTCAAGCCGTATTCACCTATCACTTCAAGGCTCACTGTTTTGGAGATGCATGGACGGATGTGACCGCAAGTGGGTGATGCGACACCACAAGCTACATCACATAGTACACAGGCAGTCAGATTTGGGTTGTTTTTGCAATTCTTTGAAGTGCCACTTTTGGGCCTTTTATGTAATAGCTAGCCTTACACTATAAATACATGAGAATAACTCATTTAGACTTGGATTATTTTCATATGAGATTATTGAGTACACTCTTGAGAGAGTTGAAAGCTAAGGTCACTGTTGATAGAAATATTGATGGAATTACTTGCTTGAGGATCATTCCTCTTGAGGGTGTCTTTCTATAGTATAGGTGCTTGTTTTGGTGTTTTTTGCAGGAGGTTTTGGCTTTAACAGTCATTGTTGCTTATTAGCCTCATTCTTGTGTCTTGATTTTTTACACAATTTGTGCTTTCTAGAATATTGTAATTTGGGGTATTGGTTGTCACATAACCATTGTTCTTAATTCTTTATCCATCTTGTGTCATTCTTTATCTTTTACTTTCCTAGTTCTTAGTGTAAGGTTTCTTTTAGTTTCCACGTTTAAATATTGTACCATTTGGTATTAGAGTCGAGTATAGATTTATTTTTACAAATCTAGACTTAGTTTGTTACAGAAAAAAAAAGGGTTAAAAGTTAAAAATATAAAATCTGATTCAAATCCTTCTTGTTTGTTGTCTTTGACACTAGATTAGTATTCTCTAGTGTTATTTGAGTGTAGATGTGGAGTTTCAAGCCATTTGGAATTGATTGGGAGATTTCACCATTGTTAGATTGAAAACTTGAAGAACAAGCAAAATGGATTTTAAAGATTGAGTGAGGTTTTGGACTTCAAAGAATTGGGGCTTGTTCTCTAACTTGAGGAGAAGCTAAATCTGAAATTTAAAGGGATTCCAAGAAAAATTGAAGTAGTTTGAATTTTGAATGTTCTTCATCTCTTTGAAGAAGAAGTTAGAAAAAGTACCAAGTTTGATCCAAAACCCCAGTTGAAATGTTTGGATTAAGTGTTTCAAGATACAAAAGGGGTAATTTCTAGGTGAAGTGGGCCCACCAAAGGAAGCGAAGGATGAGAAAATATCAACTAAAAGTCGGATGCACAAATTTCAAATGAGATTTCACGACAAAAGGTTCAACCCAGTGTATAGGAGAGCACGAAGCGGAAAAAAGCGGCAAGGTCCCACCTCACGCTTTAAGCAAAGCGCTCACTTCATCATTGAAGTGAAGTCCGAATTAAAAGAAAAAAGACCAAAATAAATAAATAGAGACAAAATATATAAGCAAAAATTCATATTAAAAACTAAAAAATGGTTCCCCTTTAGTAATCTTGTCACAAAAGAGACATACAATGGTTGTCCTATTGGTCTCACTAACTTTTTTCCCCATAATTTCATGCCCGGTAAGCCACTTTTAATCGCTAGTAAGATTTTAAGAAAAAAAATAATCAACATAATATTTTTATCACTATTAAGAAAAAATTCAACAACATTTTCATTATTGTTAACAAACAAAAAAATTCAGCAATATATATTTTAATCACTGTGAGAAAAGAAAATCAGCAACATATAATTCAAATAATCAAAGCTAAACAGGGCAAAGGAAAACAAAGTAACGAACCAAGAAGAAAAAAAGAAGAAAAATCCTAGGAGACTTATAGTCTTTTTGAGTGGTGCTAGCCAACCAAGCACAAACGAGTGCAAACAGAATTTGTATATATATATACCTATGACTTAGTATTTTGTATATATATACCTATGACTCTTTTGTGCTTGGCTAGCACCACTCAAATGTATTAGTTGCAAATACGAGTAAAAGAGTGCAAATGCGAGTAAAAGTAAGGAATTTTTACGACTAACTTGTTTGCTCGTCTTGTAGGCACAAGGAGCTATATGTCATCCATAGCTTCAGATCCTTGTGACGATGACATGGGAGACTATGCTTGTAGTGATGATGGGAGGCTATGATAATAGCCGTAATCATGAGTCATATAGAGATGAGAGTTGCTATTTCAGCGGTGAATACAAAGAATTGGTGTGTATAGATTTTGTGGAGAAGATGGGTGGGGTAGAAGAACCTTTTTTGGATTGTAGATCCTCATAACCCTTGGGATGATTCCTATGATGACGATGAAGATTATGAGGGTCCTCACACTACACACTATGAGGATGAAGACGACTTGAAATATGAATCTTCCACACACATGCCTTATGAGTCTTATGATGACGATTTCCAGTTGGAGTTGTGGTGAAAATGTCCATGAAGATAGTGGAGACTCATATAAATTGTCTTGTGGTCCTCATTATTCTAACCGAAGTAGTGTGTGTGGGTATGTTGGGGAAAGTCGATATCATCCGATGAGAGAAAGATAATGTACATTTCCTACTCGAAGGGATACAATGCCTTATGCTTCTTGTTCCGATGCACATATGTCATGTTTTCGTATAGGCATGCTATTGGAAATAAATTTGGAGAGAAGGGAGGCGTGGTTTATCTCCCTCAAGAATATTCCCTAGGATACTACTATGGAGAAAATGGTACAAGGAAGAAGTTTGCGCAAATTCATAGTAGACATCCACTACCTAATAGTAAGCAATTCCGGTCTCAAGCACATATCACATTCTTTGAGTAGCTCTGATCCATCGGAGCCGCCTCCACCAAGCAGGCGGCCACGGGTCATAACGCACTCTTCGCACAACAATGGGTTTGGAAGCTATACACTTCAAGTAGATCTCATTGGTGCTAATTTTATTAGTCCAACTTTGGTGGAATAATTGAGAATCCCATATTTTGATGTGAAGAGGCCATATGAATATAATGGAGTACGGGCCGTGAAGTCAGCAAGAGTTCTTATCACCAAAAGGGACTACAAGGAAGTCGTGTTGTGCGAAGTCTACCCTTTGAAAAGAATGTTATCTATGGTTGGACTATCCTTAGTTGAATAATATGATGGATTTTAAATGTATTAGATTGCTTCACAAATTATACCCTTCTAACCCAATTTATGTGATGCACTTTCACAAAATTTATGAAAGAAAAGAATTTTGGGAACTTGTGGTCTAAAACAAACCATAGATATTTGTGTGGCTGCACATATCATAGCAAGGTAAAATAGAAAGTTCAAAGTTAAAGTGTCTACAAATATAAAAAGGTATTGTTCTTTTAAGGACAAACAAACTGAAAAGAAAACACATCACATAAATTGAGACAAAAGGAGTAATAAAATTGTGTTGAAAAGTGAAATTCTTCACATGTTAAGAATCCACCTATAGCACACACTCTCAAGTTTGTAGGTCCACATAAAGGTCCACATTGATCCCAAATTAGATTAAAAATCTACGAAGGCATTGAGTTATAAAGGTATCCACCTTTAATATAAATGTGACATCCAAAGTAGTTTATAAAATATGTCGACAAATCCATCTATTTTTTTTTATAACCGAGAAATCCGTCTGTGACCCGCCCTTTGGACCAATCGCAGTCTTCTAAACTCGGTGGATAACTGGGCCCGCCCCTCTCCCCTTCTCCACTTAATACCGGGTTAGCTTTGCATGGTGTGGGGCTTAAACCGGCGACCTAAGCCACAATCCTCCACCTTTTGCCACTCAAGCTAGGCCTTGGGGGCCGACAAATCCATCTATTTTTTTTATAACCGAGAAATCCGTCTGTGACCCGCCCTTTGGACCAATCACAGTCTTCTAAACTCGGTGGATAATGGGCCCGCCCCTCTCCCCTTCTCCACTTAATACCGGGTTAGCTTTGCATGGTGTGGGGCTTAAACCTGCGACCTAAGCCCCAAATCCTCCACCTTTTGCCACTCAAGCTAGGCCTTGGGGGCCGACAAATCCATCTATTACCTTTAAGGTTTTGGCTTGAATGTTCATATTCTTTCATACAAAAGTTTATACAACTACCAACAACAAACACATAAATGAGGCTCACATAGTTGATCTCATAGTTGGTAAAAGGGGGGAAATTATAATAAATGGTCAACTAGATTAGAAAGAGTTGGGAAAGAACCATCTTCTTAACATAATACCAAAACAAGGTGTGGTCTAGTCATCAATGAAGTGGGGGTTGAGAACAATGAGGCCTCAAATTCAAACTCAAATTCCGATAAAATACTAGTTAAGTTCTTTCCATCTATTCAAGCCTTAGTGGACATATACCCAATACTTATATTGGTGAGAAGTAGCAGGTACCTGAAATCAACCAAGGTGTGTGCAAGTTGACTCGGACACTACGATTATAAAAGATAAGGTTCATTGATTATTGTGTCTCCAATGTTAGATCCCAGTTGCCTGCACTCATGATGTCCATAGTTGTCCACGCTCATGATGCTGGGAAAAAGATAATAGAAGCGTCCAAATAGTTGAAAAAGACATAATCAACACATAAGAGTATTTGCAAGTTAAACCTGCATCCAGGCATGCCATTTCATTGTCCAGGATTTACAATATTCATTAACATCAAGAGAAAAAGCACTTAATGAACACCTGATTGTAATTGCATGAACTAAAGAAAATCTGAGTGAGAAGAGACTCAGTTGATCACATACGTGAAGGGGCTATTTAAAATCCTAATCTCAAGAGATAAATCTTCAATGCTGCTGTCGAAAGGAAATGCTCTTACGCACATCTATGTCAATATCAGTATATGGCCATACAAAAGCTCACAGAGCCTATCACACACCAATAGCAAGCAACTTTAATCTCCAAGACTTAAAAGCAATGCATATATCGCAAATAAGAAATATATAAATATGTCCATCTCTACAGATCCTTTAGGGCCTGAGTTGCGTGTGCCTCTGAGGTAACTGAAGAAGGAAAGAGAAAAGATAGCGGAAGCAAGATACAAATCTTTGCACCTTTTTCAGAATATCAAATACAAGGATGCAATTCTGGCTACTAGAATAGATATTATAGAGTTGGATCAAAGAAAAGTAACATATAGTTCCAAGAGTACAGACATCAGAAACATAACCAGAGACAAACTACCACAACAATGAACAACAAAGTGACATAAAACTAAATCTAAAGCACCTTGCACGAACCCTCCAAAGTACCAATACACCTACATAACTTAGCAGAAGACATGTCAGAGCTTTCTCAATACCCAGAGAAAATCAAAAATCAATAAGAAGGGTAACTGGTCGGGCTACGGGGATCATATCGGCCCAACCTAGAGCTTGTTATACTATCCAAAGCTGCCCCAAATACTCTTTGATCGTAATCATAATTGTTGCCATCATAATGTGATCTATATCCATCATAAGGTGATCTATAACCATTAGACTGGTTTACTGAAACACCAGGGGGGACTGGAACTGAATAGACAAAACAATTATAAACATGTAAGTTAAAACTCAAAGAAACAGACAATCATTAAGTTTAAAAAGAAAAAAAAAAGAGAATTAAGAGCATTGGATAATGACTTCACTAAAAAAAAAGCATGCATCACCTTGTGTGTAATTTGTTTGGTGCTGTGAAAACCAGCATGAAGTTGATAACCTTGCGGAATTTGGTGAAATTTCCTTATCATTATAAGGTGTAGGATGAGGCCTTGGTCTAGAGGGAATATTTAAGGCCGGCAGTGTTGCGATTGGCGAGTTATTAGAGGGCTTGTCTTGCCCAGAAATCTGTTTAGAAAAATTATTCCATCAATAAACATTATGAACTAATCAAAGATGCTTCTGTAGACTTTGCCTCCTCAAAACTATAAGTTCCAACTGCCAGCTCGCACAATTGACTGAAAGAACATATGCTGGCTGCATCTCTCAATTCATGAACCAAAACCAAGACACACTGACAATTTCTATAGAATGCCAAGACTATCCAACATCTACACAGAGGCTGGTTCTATTGGAAAACATAGAGGAGGTAAACCCATACCTTAGGTTTGCAAGCACTACAGAAGCTGATAATACTTGGAACACAAAAATTCACTAAATGACCATCACTAAATCAGACCCTTTTAGCCAATTAAGGGACGGGTAACAAGGACTTACTGCAAATTTTAATGTTCTATTGTAGAGTGTCACTAAACCAGAGAAAAGCTTCACAGCATAGTCTGCAATCTCTTCTGTCTCATATTTTGCGAAGGCAAAACCTTTAGGCTTATCAGTTTCCTTGTCACGAGGAATGTACAAGTCAACAACACGCCCTGCTTGAATTAGAATGTCATATAGTACACGATCGCATACTCTCTCATCCAAATTTCCTAAAAGAAATTCAAACACATCTTAGAAGGTGGTACATCATACAACTCATTCACAGCACAACAGAAATTGCATGTCCTATCTATCAAAAAGGCACTACATGTTAAGCGCACTCTTGCACAGATAATTCAAACAAGCAACAGGAAAAGAAAAGACACCTCAACAAAGTCAGCTATACTAACAAAGGCAGATTAACCAAATTTATGTGCAATTCATCCCAAGGTATATATTGGTTCTCATTATGAAGTAGTTTAGGAGGTCCAAGTGTAACCCTTTTGGTGGACAGTAAAAGTGAGATGTTATTTGACATTCAAATAACATGGAGTTGGAGAAAAAAAGACTTTTGGAATTGGAGGTCTCAAATTAGTCATATATACAGACTAAAAGGAAAGTGATTAGGAAAAAGGGAGTAACTGTAGCATAACGGAACTAAACGCGGAACTGTGTTTAGAAAGGGGAAAAAACAGTTGTAGCAAACAAATTAAATTCAGTAATCAACCAAACATAACCAGAAAAGGCACATATCTCTAAGATTATTACTTCCTTGACTATTGAAAAGAAAACCAAAAAAAGAGTGTGACATCAGATCTGATATAGGAGAAAACATTCATAAAAAATTATTAGAGTTATATGGAAAATTAAAAAAGAAGACATACCGACATATACAGTGCAATTAGGGTTCTCCGCCATGGGAGCTTTATCGGGAGGAGAGAAATTGGATGCCCAGTACCAGTAGATTCACAAAGTATATCGGAATCGTGTGGTTTTTGAATAAAGCAGAGAGAGTCTCTTTATTTATGTTATCTACCAAAAAAATAGAAATAAGTTTATCACCGACTTCTGGATGGTTTAAAAGTCGCCTACGGATGTGATGAGAGGACGACCAGGGGCAAATAAGTAAATTTACAGTAACAATTAGGGGTGTTCATGGTTTGTATAAAAATCGATCCAAACCGAAAAACCAAACCAAATCGATTAAATGAACCGATTTAATTTGGGTTTTGGTTTGGTTTGGTTTTAGATTGTTAAGAACCGATAGTATTTGGTTTGGTTATGGTTTTGTTCGGAAAAAATTGAAGAAATAACCGAACCGAACCAACAAGTTATATACATAAATTTTATTATTATACATACATAATATATTATATTCATAAACAATTTTAAAGATTTTATATATGTTTCATCAAAATTTATTTATAATTTACTTATGAAAGAAAAAATGTCCAAGGTGAGAGCATTTTTCTTATTGGTTTCATGTATATGAGTGTCTATGAAAATTCATTATGGGACTGAAACTGTCATTGTCTCTTCCTTCAATGACAAAAATAGCAAATTTTGAAGTTTTATTCAGTAAATTCAATGATCCAAAGTACTGTAATGCCAGTCATTCTAACTATTTTTTCATTTTAATGGATTGTTGTCACTTTTTTCACGTTTTGAATGAATTGTTTCTTTTATTTTTATGTATGGTTAATAACTGAATAACCGAACCAAACCAAACCAAAACCGAAAACAACCAAACCGATAAATGTATATTATATTTGGTTTGGTTTGGTTTTGATAATTTTAAAACCAATTAAGTTGGTTTGGTTTGGTTTTGACCAATAACCGACCCAAACCAACCCGTGAACACCCCTAGTAACAATTCACTCGGTAGTTCTAGAATCATCTGTCATCAGTTTTCACACTCCAAATGCAAAATTTCAACTCACTTTATGCCCAATCATATTTCTAGAAGCATCACGTCTTCCCTCTCTCTTGTTCCAATAACGATGAATGGATTCACAAGTCTTCATAGTTCCAGATATGTTCTTCTTCAAATTTCGCAGCAATCTCTCAATTTTATGGCTGATGTGTAGGCTTAGGTTGTTCTCTCCCAAACATCGTAATCTGAATTCAGTTACTCTGTACTCTTAGCTCTAAGTTCTCTCTCTCATTCCTTCTCTGTATTAGAATGTCGACAATATCGCGATTCCTTATAGAAGAGATAGGCAATTGTTAAAATCATAGTTATTATGCCCTTTAGATAGATATTGAAATTAAATTACTGGGATCGGTAACTAATGCTTTGAGGGCTCATCTTCTTCTCACTTTGTGCAAATCTTGCACACTGAAATCTAATTGAAAAATTTGTGTGAGCTTATTCATTTATTTTTACACACTTTCCTTTACAGTTGCTCATAGAAGAACCCAACATGTTTTATTAACATATATAATTATCCTCGAGAATTCTTACAAATAAAAAGCTAAACCTTCATTATATCAAGTTATTCTATTTGGTGATGTTGATGACGATAAATGTTGATTTTCTTTCAAATCTGTTTTTCTATATACCTTTTGAATGGCCTCTCAATATCTTACATAAGATTAGCGTGTTAAATATATTGTACATGATAAATTCTTTTTATCTACAGAGTAGTGTTAATTCTGTTTTATTTGTAGGTTGTGCTTGCTACTCGACTATTCTCCAAAACAGAACAACCTTCAGTTCTCCTTCTTCAGCTTTCAAGAATACTTAGGAACGTCCTCTTTCAGTGTCATCACTGTTGGCGACAACAAAAGTGTGAGATTTAATTGGTATGTGATTGGCCTCTCAATATCTTACATAAGATTAGCGTGTTAAATATATTGTACATGATAAATTCTTTTTATCTACAGAGTAGTGTTAATTCTGTTTTATTTGTAGGTTGTGCTTGCTACTCGACTATTCTCCAAAACAGAACAACCTTCAGTTCTCCTTCTTCAGCTTTCAAGAATACTTAGGAACGTCCTCTTTCAGCGTCATCACTGTTGGCGACAACAAAAGTGTGAGATTTAATTGGTATGTGATCGTTAGGAATCATGGTTACGCAAGGCTTCCATGCCTCCAACTCTGCCACGGTTTAATATTTCAGCCCTTCTAATATCAATTCAATGAACGAGGTAAGTAGTCTAATTCATTTGTTGTGGTATGTTAAGTGCTATTTCTAACTTCATTGTAATTTCATAGCTAACATAATGACAATTTAGATATTTTGTCCACCTTTAAAGGTATAGAAACATCTAGACAACTATGGTCTACTCGTGTTCATTTCTCTTCTGGGCTTCCATGCCTCCAACTCTGCCACGGTTTAATATTTCAGCCCTTCTAATATCAATTCAATGAACGAGGTAAGTAGTCTAATTCATTTGTTGTGGTATGTTAAGTGCTATTTCTAACTTCATTGTAATTTCATAGCTAACATAATGACAATTTAGATATTTTGTCCACCTTTAAAGGTATAGAAACATCTAGACAACTATGGTCTACTCGCGTTCATTTCTCTTACCCGAGTAGTTCTTCCATGGTAACGCTTCAGATGTTGCGATTCCAGGTCAGTTCTCTCAATCTTTGCCCTTACGGTTCTCAATTTCAAAGCTTTCAAAAAACTTATTCTTTCAGTTCTCTTCCTTTTCACTGTTGGGTGTTCCAAATCAATTAAGATCCTGAATAAAGTAACATTCAAGGTAAGTATTCATGGCATTGGGTATATTCCTTCTTCATCCTGAATTTCATAGACCATATATATTTCCTGCTTTACCGCCAATAACTCTAGAATGTATGAATAGCAGACAGAGACGGGTCTTATATTCTTGAAATTTCTGGTAGAAGAGTTAGAGAGTCTGGGAGAACTTGCTCCGACGTGCGTATCAATTCTTTGATTGCCTTGGGTTTTCAATAGTTCTTTCTCGTGATTAATTAAATGTTCATATTGCTCCATTGAGGTTCATATTGCTGTTTCAGTTGGTTGAATGAACCCTGGCCTACTTTGTGTTAGCTATCTACACCAACACACCTCTTAAAATTACACACATAACCCATAGGCAACACAAACATGCTCATTGACCTTTTCCCCCAACACTTTATAATTGAGATAAATGATTAGGATAAATAACTAATGTACTGTTTATTGTAGCAACATCAAATTTAAAACTCTATGTGTATGTCGTAACTTGAAGCTAGCAATATCTTTTGATGACATATTATCCTAAATTACTACTACATTTATACAGTTTGCTATTGGAAGTCACTTGTGCTAGGAAATATGAAGTTCTTAGCTTTAATCTATCACTTACTTTGTTGTTTTAAGTTATTTTTTAGTTTATTGCATTGAGAATTACTTACATTTTGAAAAATGTTGTTCTTAAGCTCTCACCAATTATTTACTTGGCGTTCACTTTGTGACTGCAGATTCATTGAGAAATGTCGACAAGATATATTTGAAATAGCTACTACGACATCGCGGTAAGGCATCAAACAATGACACCTGAGTTTACCTGAATTACTCACCAAATCAATAAGATCCTGACAAACTTTATACAAATTTTTATTTATTTCAGTTGAAGTTGTCTATAAGTTTGCAATTAACATGAGGGTCTATCTGTTAAATTTTTTCCTAGATGAAACACACGTATAAAATGTTAATTTATAGCTCTCTAATTTTTATTTTTGCACTCAGTTTTAGACTTCTTTAGTCGACGATTGGTGTTTACTTGGATTTTGAAGGTATTTCAAAACACCTCTCTGTTATGTGGTTTCTGGGATAGCAAAGGTTGGCTACTAAGCTAGGTATGTATCTCCAACACATTTGATTTGAAGTGATAGATGAAGAAAGGCTTTGGATTTTGAAGCTCCCAAATGGAGTTATGTGTCATTATGCATTGTGGAGAAAAATGTCAATGAGCTGCCAAAGTTGGAAAACAATTGTCAAAGAATGAGAAGGCCCAAGAATTAGCTCTGCAACATTTTCTAAAAACTGTAAGTTCTTGAAATCATTTGAGTATCTTTCATCTTTTCTTAATATTTTTTCAAGGTTTTTCATTCATGCATTTGGTTGTGGTTTGCTGTGGTTTACTGTGTTTAGGTGATTACACTTATTGTTATTGTTATGGTTCCTTGCATATATGCTCCACATTACTTTGTTAAAATCATAGATAGTGTAACATCCGGCAATATGAAATGGCTATGGAGAGG